AAGCATCCGATTCAGTGGGACTTCCATATCAAAGGGCCAGTAGGTCATTATTGAGATGACCATTTTTATACACTCCACCATAGCATGGGGTTTATCATTCCGTTTGTAACACCTCGAATTACACATTTTAGACCCCACAAAGTATATACATTCTTGATCAGCATAAAATTCTATGTCGATTTAGCGATGTCCGTCCGTCTGTGGAAATCACTCTAGCTGCCGAACAAATTGAAGTAGATTGATAAAATTTTGCTCTAATGTATGTTATGTCTGCAGGATTTTGGTATTGAAAATGGACCACGTTTTCGTATAGCCCCATATATCATTACCTCCCGATATTCGGTATTTTAATAATTTTAGCGACATTATTCACCGGAATAGTTTCAAATTAGGTACTTGAAGTTCGTAATGGATACTACAGCCTAAGACAGAAAATTGTCTGTGCAAGTCCACGTCTTCGTAAAGCCCCATATAACGGTACCTCCCGATATTCGGTATTTCAATGATTTTATGGACATTTTTTCGGCAGAATTGTTTCAAATTTTGGTATTTGAAGTTCGTAATGGATACTACAGCCTATGACAGAAAATTGTCTGTGCAGGTCCACGTCTTCGTATAGCCCCTATATAACGGTTTCTCCCGATATTCGGTATTTTGATGATTTTAGGGAATTTATTCACCGGAATTGTTTCAAATTTGGTATTTGAAGTTCTTAATGGATACTACAGCCTAAGACAGAAAATTGTCTGCGCTGGTCCACTCCTTCGTAGAGACCTCATAAAATGGTACCTCCCGATATTCGGTATTTTAATGATTTTATGGACATTTTTCACCAAAATTGTTTTAAATTTGATATTTGAAGTTCGTCATGAATACTTCAACCTACGACAGAAAATTGTCTGTGCAGGTCCCCGTCTTCGTGTAGCCCCGGTGCCTCCCGATATTCGGTATTTTGATTTTGTCGACATTATAACCGATTTTTTTAAGTTTCGCATTTGAATATTGTAATGGCTTATGACAAATGTTACCTACGCAGGTTCATGTCATCTTAGAGACCCTGATATAATAGCTACATTCAGTATTTTTAAGATTTTCACAGAATTTTTAACGGATTTTATTGTTTTTGAGAATTGTCAAATTCGTTCCAAATGGTGGAAGTTATTCAAAGTTCGGCCCGGCCGAACTTACAGCTTTTTTAATTGTTTTTTTTTTTTTTTTAATGGGAGGAAAGTTGATCTCTAGTGTGAAGTCCAGGTGACCCTCTATGAAAACACAATTTTGTCTTCCAATTGAGGATTATCGTTTTTCCTCAGAAAAATTATTTACTCTTAAATAGGAAGGTCATTTGACCTTCTTATACCAGCAACTCTTACTCTTCTTTGAGAAGGCCATTTGGTTCTTTCCATCGGTTCTTTTATAAGAAAATCAATTCGTTTCCTGTAATCAGGAATTTTCTGTGGGAAGTTTATCCGGTTATATTGTGGGGTAATAAGGACTTCTATGAAATTATTTGAGAACTTCTTGTTTTTCTGTGACAACCACACTTGGTTGTCAGTCATTGAACTTTTCCGGTATCTAAAAATAATTATACATTTCGAAAACTTGACAAGAAACTTTCTTAATTAAAATGTCTCAAGGATTTTTCACGACAGAACGCATAAGATTTTTCATGCATATTTATAATATCATTAATCACAAGTCAATACCCTGAACCACCCCCTCAAACATTTGTTGTAATTATTTTGGGGTTGACAATGGTATTCGATGTTTCATTCGACATTTCCAATAAACTTTTCTAAATCTAATCGAAACAGTGTCACGCTGAGGTGTGACGACAACAAGTGTGAATGGTTTAAAAGCTGCAACAACTTGTGTTTGTCTTTTTTTTTAGTTCCTCACACACATGTATGAGCCCGAAATACTTAAAGCTAAAATAAACAATAAACAACACGAAAAACAAACCAAAACAGAGGAACCGTGAAAACAAAAAAAAAAACACGTTTTTTTGCCTGGCTAGCTTTCTTTTGCCGACTAACCCCCGCTTGGAATGGAAGAAATCCCTGACAAAAATGGTGGAACATAAATTTCTAGTCGACAAAATGAAAGTGAAAGAAAAAATAAACACATACATTCGTACAAACCATATGACCCACAACAAATTTAATAGAAACAAGGAAAGCAGACGCCAAAAGTCGTTTTTCTGGTACCAAAGAGTTGATTTTCTTTTGGAGGAAGAGGGGATGACGGGCGGTTGTGTGTGCATGTGAGGAAACTAAATTTGTGAAAGGGTTTTTTTTTTTAAAGGACTAAAGACCTTAATGTGACAGCATGGCAAACGTCTGACAGTTTCATGACAGTGAATATACATTTACGTGACTTATGATATCGTCGGCATTGTGTTACCCACCCGTCCCCTTCCAAACACTTGTAGGCAAAAGAGCTAGATTTTTTGTTTTTACTTTTTTTGGTCGTAGAGGTAAATAATGGTTTTTAAATTATTTTTGTAGAAAATTTGAAAGAGAAATGAAAAAGATTTTACCAAGTGGAAGATCGTTTTGTTAATATGCTTTTGTAACAATAATATACATATGTGAAATATCCTTGAAATATCACTCAGAAAGGCATGTTTCCTTGCGATTTATTGTAACTGTACTTTAGGATGAAACGAAAGAAAATGTTTTTTTTTTCTTTTTTTTGAAATTGTTTTTATAATTTTGCCAAAGACTTGAAAACAAGAAGGAAATTTATCAAGGACGAAAATGTATGATCCTAGGATTTTTTTCAAAAATTCACGATTTTGGGCCAAGAAAAATTATCTAAAATTTCCACGATTTTGGTTCTTAAAAAAGGGGTTTAGAATATCCACGATTTTGGGCATTGAAAAATTGTTTAAAATTTGTACATCATTGGACTTTGGAGGAAGCCTTGGGGCCTGGGAGGAGGATAGAAAAATTATTTAAAATTTCCACGATTTTGGTTCTTAAAAAAGTGTTTAAAATATCCACGATTTTTGGGCATTGAAAAATTGTTTAAAATTCTTACTTCATTGGACTTTGGAGAAGGTCTTGGGGCCTGGGAGGAGGATAGAAAAATTATTTAAAATATCCACGCCTTTGATCTTGAAGGCGTATAGAAAAATTTAGGCTTTGGACCAAAGAAGAGCCCAATATTTTTTTTTTTAATAAAAGCCAAATAAACCTTTGGGTCTTGCAAACATAGAAAAAATTATTTCAAATATCACGGTCTTGCAGGAGCCTACAAAAAAAATCTTTAAAAAAATAAATTCTCTTCGGAGCAGTCCAAAATAAACCGTCACTGTTTGTGTCCTACAGTAGTCTTCATAATCTCTAATCCAAGTCCGTTGATCTTGGAGCATCTAGAAAAAAAATCGTTCGAAACGCCTTTTGGTCCTTTTTATACCCTCCACCATAGTATGGTGGGTATATTAAGTTTGTCATTCCGTTTGTAACACCTCGAAATATACATTTTAGACCCCACAAAGTATATATATTCTTGATCAGCATAAAATTCTATGTCGCTTTGTCAATGTCCGTCCGTCTGTCCGTATAGCTGTCTGCCCGTCTGTGGAAATCAATCTAGCTTCCGAACAAAATGAAGTAAGTTGATAAAAATTTACTCAAATGTGTATTATGTCTGCAGGACTTTTGGTATTGAAAATGGGTCATTTAGGTCCACATCTTCGTATAGCCCCCATATAACGGTACCGATACCGATATTCGGTATTTTGATGATTTAGCGACATTATTTACCAGAATTGTTTCAAATTTGATATTTGAAGTTCGAAACGGATACTACAGCCTAAGACAGAAAATAATATGTGCAGGTCCACGTCTTCGTATAGCCCCATTTAAAGGTACCTCCCGATATTCGGTATTTTGATGATTTTTGCGACAATATTCATCAGAATTGTTTCAAATTTGGTCTTTGAAGTTCGAAATGAATACTACAGCCTATGACAGAAAATTGTCTCTGCAGGTCCACGTCTTCGTAAGCCCCCATATAACGGTACCCCTGATATTCGGTATTTGGATGATTTTAACCGGAATTGTTTCAAATTTAGTATTTGAAGTTCGTAATGGATACTACAGCCTCAGACAGGAAATGGGCCATGCAAATCCACGTCTTCGTATAGCCCCCATATAACGGCACCTCCCGGTATTCGGTATTTGGATGATTTTAGCGACTTTATTTACCAGAATTGTTTCAAATTTAGTTTTTGAAGTTCGCAATGGATACTACAGCATATGACAGGAGATTGTCTGTGCAGGTTCACGACTTTATATAGCCCCCATATAACGGTACCTCCCTATATTCACTATTTTGATGATTTTAGCGACATTATTTTCCGGAATTGTTTCAAATTTGGTATTTGAAGTTCGTAAAGGATACTACAGCCTATGCCAGAAAATTGACTGTGCAAGTTCACGATTTATATAGCCCCCATATAACTTTACCTCCCTATATTCGCTATTTTGATGATTTTAGCCACATTATTTTCCGGAATTGTTTCAAATTTGGTATTTGAAGTTCGTAATGGATACTACAGCCTATGCCAGAAAATTGGCTGTGCTGGTCCACGTATTGTACCTCCCTATATTTGGTATTTTATTTATTTTAGCTACATTATAAACAGATTTTTTTCAAGTTAAGCATTTGAATATTATATGTGAATAGCTTATGACAAAAGTTGCCTATGCAGGTCCACGTCGTCGTATAGACCCTAATATACGGCTGCATTCGGTATTTTTAAGATTTTAACAGAATTTTTAATGGATGGTGGAGGGTATTCAAAGTTCGGCCCGGCCGAACTTACAACTTTTTTACTTGTTTCGTATTCAATTTCGACACTTACGACTCAATCTATCTTAAAACTTTAATAAATAATGAAATCTCCTTATATATATTTTTTTCTTTTCAAGCATCCTAACATGCATCAACAAATTACGGTCTACAGTCTTTGATGATTTTCTTTGGCAGTGTTTTTATTTGCTTTTGTTTTTTTTGTATTTTATTTTTATTTTTGTGTCGTTCACGTTTTTTTGTTTTTGTTTTTGACAAAATAGCCTCATTTAAATGTAAATGACACCTAGACGAATGAGCGATATTTCATTAACAGACCATATAACGCATACGTCAGGCATAACCATATTCTCAGATTTAATTTCTACGGCTGACTGGCTACGAAGGGAAGACATCAGGCAAATGGAATTTTTATTTTTATCACTGTGTTTATGTATGTAAATTTCCTGCTGTTAGGTTTCATTTCGTCTTCTCATCCTTTTTTTTTGTAGACAGCTAGTTATTTACATAGTATACATACAAGGGACCACTTCGAACTACAATATGTATGTATGTATGTGGATATCAATTTACAAAACCAAACCTTTTCCTTATGTCAGGGGTGGTTCGCATTTATATTATTTTTTTTTTTCGAACATTTATCTTAACTAAATGAAATGTCCTTTTGGATACCACTACGCTCCTCTCCCGCACACACACACACACTCTACATGAATTAATTGCCATTTGTTTGCTAAAGACCCTTATGTTCCGTCATGTTGTTAGTGTTAGTTTGTTCCGGAAATATTATACATTATTGTTCCTTAAGCTTCACTTACCTTATTAGTTTGTAAATGTATAGTTATTCATCGGTCTAACGAAGGATGTTTATCTGAAAAGGGAAAAAAATCGATTTGTTGTAGCATAAGATTTTCTTCTATGTGTGTTCAAGTTGTTATCCGTTATAAACATTTTTATTTCCTTCAAAGTTGGGAATAATATGAATTTGTTAGCTTGTTTGAAATATCAGATCAGACCATTCATGTTGTATATTTATGTTTGGCAGTGTTAAATTGACACTGAACTTATGTCTTTGGTCACTTGTCTGTAAATGGCAATAGTTCCTTATAGCGATGCAGATGGAATCACATTCTGACTTGTTTTATAGAAGCAGTTTGTTAGTCTTAATATTATATACGCTGAACCCGGAGCGCTTCGCAACCCCCATTTGATTTCATATGCATTCAAAATTGTATATATTAGATACAATTATATGTTGGTTAAATATACAAAACCATGGGAGAAGCAGGAACATGATATGCCAATACGAAGAGTTTGTCCGTCGGAAACTACAATTTTCTGAAGTTGAGTGTCATTTCCAATTGGTGAATTCGAGGTAGCATACTTTCCCCTAATAAGCGTATCTTTATTAAATTTATGTGTAGTTTTTTACTGTTACCTACTACATTAATGGTTCTCAATAAAAATATATACCAATCTCATCCGATTTCAATATAATTTGACAAAAAATCCGAATTTAATTGAAATCGGACATACTGTCGGACATACATCAAATATTTAAAATTAACCGAAAATATATATGGGAGCTATATCCAAATCTGAAACGATTTCAATATAATTTTTTATTTTGTCATCAAAATCCCGTCACACATTCGAAATTTCATTGGAATCGAACATACATATCGTGCATCAAATTAACGAAATCAGTCTAAAATATATATTTGAGCTATATCCAAATCTGTACCGATTTCAATATAATTTCGCAAATTTGTTTGTGTACCAAATTTAGTCACTTATGCCGAATTTCATTAGAATCGGACATACGTATCGTATTTTGTGCATCATATATGTGAAATCGGCGGAAAATATATATGGGAGCTAAACTTAAATCTGAACCGATTTTAATATAATTTGCCCAATTTATTATTTTCTAATCAAAATCCCATTGCACATCCCAAATTTGATTAGAATCGAACGTACATATCGTGGTTGATGCATCAAATACATGAAATCGGTCGAAAATATATATGGGAGCTATATTCTAATCTGAACCTATTTCCAAATAATTTGACAAATTTATTTATTTATTTATTTATTTATTTATTTATTTATTTATTTTTTTTTTTTTTTTTTTTTTTTTTGATCAAAATCCCGGCACACATTCCAAATTTCATTAGAATCCAACATAATCGATCGAAAATAAATATGGGAGCTACATCCAAATCTGAACCGATTTCAATATAATTTGACAAATGTATGTTCGTTTTAATTTCCGTTGTAAATTCCAAATTTCATTGAAATTAGAGATACATAGCGTGTTTGGTGCATCAAATACTTGAAATCGGACGAACATATATATGGGAGCTGTATCCAACTCTGCACCGATTTCAATATAATTTGGCAAATTTATTCTTGTTCCGAACATTCCAAATATGGAGACAGTATATGTAATAGATCAATAGATATGCGCATAAAAAATCAAAATTTTTGGGAGGTACCTCCGATTCTGATGCTATATCTCCAGTTCCAAGTGGAATTTCAAAAATGTATATAGCCTATATAGACGTTCAGGCGATGCTGTAAATATATAAATATTGCGGCGTGCTAGGCTTGGACCATATCGACCTGCATTTAATATCAGATATTTAATAATTTTTAGAAAAGATTAAAATGTGCATGATTTGTTCCATTTTCATACTTTATCTAATACAGATAAAAATAAATAAAAATAAAAAATTACAGGAAAATCGAAAATGTATATCCAATTTTATGCGAACTTAAATTTCATATTCATCTCAGGTCTCTGGTCGAGAAAAAATTCTAGATATAGTTAAGAATCGTTGACTTGTCGCGCAAGTTATGACAGGTAAAAGTAAAAACCAGTAAGGAAAGCTCAAAAGTCGGGCGGGGCCGACTATATGATACCCTACACCAGTATGCATATTTAGTAGAGCTCTCGTAAAAAGGTTTATACAGGGTATTTAAGAGCTCTATGAGATATTTGGTACAAAATCAAAATCTATCTAATTCTATCGTGCATTTTACGAACTATAGCTATCTCTGAACCGGGTTTCTCCAAATTTTACGTATTAGCTTCTAGACTGGTGATTTGGGCTGATATTGACCAGTTAGTGCACATTTAACCCGAAATCGGATGAAGATATATATGAGAGCTATATCCAAATCTGAACCGATTTCGATAAAATTTAAAACAGCTATTCCTGTGCTCCATCTAATACTTGGTACCAAATATCACGGTTGTGGAGTGAATATTACGAATGTATGGGACTAAAACTCTAAATCGGATGAAACATATATATGGTTGCTATATCTATATCTGAACCGATTTTCACTAAATTTGATATACTTGCTTCTAGGCTGAATTTGGTCCGATGTACTAAAATTCAGTCCATTTGGACTTATATCGGCCATTTGGTGCACAATTAACCCGAAATCGGATGAAGATATATATGGGAGCTATATCCAAATCTGAACCGATTTCGATAAAATTACAAGCAGCTATTTCTGGGCTGTATCTTATATCTGGTACGAAATATCATTCTTGTGGAGTGCATATTACGAATGTGAGAGGCATAAACACCAAATCGGATGAAAGATATATATGAGAGCTATAGCTATATCTGAACCGATTTTCTCCAAAATTTGATATACTTGCTTCTAGGCCGAACTCGGTTGGGTGTGCCAAAATTCAGGTAATTTGGACTGATAGTGGACATTTGGTGCACATTTAACCCGAAATCGGATGAAGATATATATGGGAGCTATAGCTGTTTCTGAACCGATTTTCTCCAAATTTGTTGTATTTGCTTTAAGGCTAATCTCGGTCACATGTGCCAAAATTCGGGCCATTTGGGCTGATATTGGCCATTTGGTGGTCAATTAACCCGAAATCGGATGAAGATACATATGGGAGATATATCCAAATCTGAACCGATTTCGATAACATTTAAAACAGCTATTTCTGTGCTCCACTTAATACCTGGTACCAAATATCACGGTTGTGGAGTGCATAGTAGGAATGTGAGGGACTTAAAGATCAAATCGGATGAAAGATATATATGGGAGCTATAGCTATATCTGAACCGATTTTCTCCAAATTTGATATACTTGCTTCTAGGCCGAACTCGGTTGGATGTGCCAAAATTCAGGTAATTTGGACTGATAGTAAATATTTGGTGCACATTTAACCCGAAATCGGATGAAGATATATATGGGAGCTATATCTAAATTTGATCCGATTCTCACCAATAGGGTTCGTCCTTGGGCCAAAAAAATATTGTTTGGAAAATTTCATCTCAATCGGATAATAAATGCGACCTGCATTTTGTCCAAAAGAATACATGGACAGACGGACGGACGGACAGACGGACGGACATGCATAAATCGACTCAGAATGTGATTCTATGCAGATCATCAAAAGGAACTATGGGTCTATCTCGGTTCCTTTTGCCTGTTACAAACAAATGCACAAAAACATAATACCCTTACCACTATGTGGTGTAGGGTATAAAAACCGGTGACCCTTTGTGGGTGAGGTTTCAGAAGGGGTCCGCAGATATATATCATCTTCTCGTGTTAGCAAAAATGTTTGTGTTTGTGAAATTTGACGAGAGGTGTATGCTTATTACACTTTTTTGAGCGTTTGGTTTTTTAAAATCTTGAATCCAATGTGGGCGAGGTACCAAAAACAGTGGTTCGATCTCTACCATCTTTATAACAGATTTTGTGTTGATGGAAATATTGGGAAGTACGAAGTCTGAATGGAATCAGATATTAAAAATATCACTAACACTAAATTGAACACCGAATAAGTTAGATGGTACATTTCAAATAAGGTGTTTGCCAAAAATTATAATATAATTTTTTTCAGTAAAAAGGTATCTAAGTTCAGCGTCGAACTTTTAATACCCTCCAACATTTTGAAGGAACTTGAAAATTTTCCTTAAAAAAATCCGCCGGAAATACCGCTCAAAGGAAAATAGGTATTTGGGGGCTTTATAAAGACGTGGTCCCACATAAGTAATAGGCTGTAGCACCCATTATGAACTTTAAATACGAAATTTGAAACAAATCCGGTAAAAATGCCTTTAAAATCATCAAAATACCGACAACGGGGGGTACCGTTGTTTGGGGGCTATACGATATCGTGGACCTATATAGACAATTCTCTTCCAGGGAGTAAAGTACTTAAAAGGAACTGCTTATGTGGATTTTAAGAAAATTTCATTGAAAAATGAGCTATAATCATGAAAATACCGATTATCGGGAAGATCTCTTCTAGCGGGTTAATGAAAAGGAACTCCTTGCATGGATTTTTAGACAATTCCATTGAAAATATGCCTAAAATCATCTAAATACCGAATATCGGGAGGTACCGTTATATGGGGGCTCTACGATATCGTGGACCGAATAGCCCATCTTCGAACTTGACCTGTCTGCAGACAAATGTCTTATCTGTGAAAAATTTAAGCTTCCTATCTTAGTTCGTATTGCTTTTGCGTGATTGCAACAGACGAATAAATAGGGATAAATCGTCTTACAGCTTTACGCTTAGGTCTAAAGTTATTATATCGATGAGTTACACACGGAATGACGAACTTAATATACCCTTCATAACATATGTATGGTGCAGGGTATAAACAAAAACACAATTTTGTCACAACTTTTAGTGACTGGAATAATGAGTTTAACACCTGGTACGTTACCTGTCACTATAGTATATTAGAATGTATGTAGATCTCCTAATTTCAGAAACATTATATACGAATTTAAAAGATCAATATTCAATAGTTTAAAAAATATGGATTTTTACACAACATTGCCAGTGTGAAACACTCTTGCGGTCTTAAGTTTAAAAAAAAATCGTCTAATTGGCCCATTATCAGCAGAAATGTTTGGGAACGATAAAACTCTAAACACGTTCTTGAGATCCATGCCAATTTGGAAAAAAATCTTCATTCTCATTAATGTTCTTTTTTTGAGAATAAATTCCCTTGAATTATAGGCTTCACTTCAAAGCGGAGGAATTTAAATTGAGAAACTTGTAATTTGTGCACATTGAGTAGAAATTTATGACGTACTACTCTCTCACGTTGCAATGACATTGACATTCGAATGAAGAATAACCTTGACAGTCAATGTTGTAGTACAAATGTTGGGCGAATAAATATTTAACATTGCCTTGAGCGAATAGATATCGACAGGATGTAGAGGAAAAAACAATGGTTTCCACACCTGTGGTCAAGGTTGTATTTTTGTAATTATATATACTTCTGTTTGTAATTACATATATATTTTTTAAAATATAACAGTTGTCTTTTTTCATATATTTTCATTCTGTAATAACAATATCGGAGTGTGTGTATGTATTAAATTTCTTTTCAATTCACCTGTAACTATTAAACTCCGTTCTATTGTTGCTTTCCACTGGGTTTGCAGCCAAGTTCGGTTCGAAGTAATACTGTGTGGTACAACAATGGATTTTCAATGTTGTTTGTTGTTGCTGTTCGACACTCACACCTTAGTATGGCCTCTTTGTTCCTCTTTGCTTTGGAGGGGTTTTTTTTTTCTTAACTTTCATACGGCACAACAACCAACCGACCAACCAATCAGCCCGTCATGTGTGTTGAGGTGAAAATTTTCTTGATACACTTTTCAATATCATATCTTCTTTTTCGATTTGGTTTGGCTTGGCTTGGTTAGATTTTGTGTTTTATTGCTGTTGCTGGTTGGAATTTATCGGTTTTTGATTTGGTGTATATTTTGTTTTATCCTTGTTATTTATGTTATACACACACGAATTTGCAAAGTAATTTGTAATACATTTTTCACAAATTTCGTAAAATTTATTTAGGGGCTAAACTTCGGAAAAAAAATATTTTTCTTTTTTTCTGGAAATAATTTCTCATTTTACTTCTTTTCAGTGATAAAATTAAAAGCGCTTAACATTTGCCATGGGAGATTTGAGTATACAGTAAATAAATTTGTTGCCACATACATGTATGGGTATTTATGTGTGCGTGAGTGTGTTTGCTGTTAAAAATTTTAATCTCACAATCACCATCACTTAACTTTATATACAGAACCAACAAACAAATCATGAAGACTGACACACACACACACACACTTACTCATTTATTGACACTACGCTTTTAGAGATAGACATTTGTAGCTGAGACCACACTAACATACCATCGAACTCACAGACGTACTCACACTGCATAGTAAATCAGACACATAAACACAAACACATAACTACTACCAGCAGCAGCAGTAATTGTTATTAAACTTTTGTATTTTTTTTTACTTTTTTTTTCTTTTTAACTGAACTGAAAAGTTTCCTGTTTCACAGAAATTAAATTTAAAATTCCCAAGTAATGGCCAGTTCCGTCCGCGTACGATATCCTTCACTCATGACGGTACAACTCGAACTGTGCCTTGGCTCTTTGGGTTATCAGCGAAAGTTGTTCTCACTCACCCATTAACTGGGCTAGCTGGTTGGCACATTAGATTTTTCCACTTGGTTTTCTATGTTTTGCATCAGGTGGATGAGCGGCGATGTTTCAACTCTCACTTGCTCGCTCTCTCTCTCTCACTCATACACTTTCACTTTCATAACTTCGCCATAGAAAAATATTCATGTCTGTTGCTACATCCTGTTTGTTTTCCTTTTGTAGTCAATCATTTGCCTCACAATGGCTCTCTGTCTGTATTTGTATGAGCGTATGCGTGTGTGTTCGATGTACACCTGTTTGCGACCATAAAATGTGCTTGCTCGCTCGCTCGTTCGTCCGTGTTTTGTATGATTTTGATGTCCGTGTACGCTAAGAAGCAACAGCTAACTGTTGGTATTCATTTAATGCCATTGCTCTTTATACATGAAAATTGATTTTTCTTTTGCGAAAGTAATTTCTTTCGGAAAAGTTTTGAGTACATTTCCAATGAGGTTATTTCTCTTAAGGAGATAACAGAGAAATAATAAAGAGAATGAATGTACATTATAGTTAAAATTTTTTCATGAATTTTTGGGAAAGATCAGTTTATTGACCAAAAGTCATCAATAACATTAGTATGTAAATCCAAGCTCCATGAAAGTAAAAAAATCAAAAATTTTTATTTGGAGATTTGTAAAATTTAACATTTGATTTATTCTAAAAAGTTACCCAGACTTCTAGAAGAATGTTCGATTATTTAAATATATTTTTACTTCTCTAGGGAGTAGGTTCCTAAGGACGGGGCCAATACTGTCTATTTCGTATCGGACCTAAATTAATATGATATAAATATTGCAGTATGAACAAGATGGCAAGAAAATCGAACATTTATATCCAATTTTATGAGAAATTATAAATTCCATATTCATCTCAGGTTTCAGATTGAGAGAAATATTTTAGTTATAACAGATGCAAATATTGAAAATTGCGACTCTTTGTGGGTGAGGTCCCAGAAGGCCTTCGCCGATATTTATCATCTTCACAACGGGAGCTATATCTAAATTTGAACCAATATCTACATACAGAGGTATTATATGCTGTCTTTGGCACCAAAAATTATTGCTTTGGAGTACATTCTACGAAGGTGAGGGATTTAAATACAAAATCTGGCAATTATATACATGAGAATTATAGTTATATCTGAATCGATTTTTTTCACACCTTCTTTCGTCTTCACACCTTCTTTGATGTATTTTCCCCAATATCAGGTTTATTGAACTCATATTACGGCTTTGACGGACAAAATAGCATATCGGATGAACAATATATATATGGGAGCTATATCTATATAGATTTTTACGAAATTTGACATACTTGCTATCAGGCCCAATTCAATCAATTTGAGCTTATTTCATTGACAACTGTTAACATTACATGACGGATATATTTGGACTTTTCAGATAATTTCCTGCCCAGGAAATATTGCCCTCTATTAACTTCACATAGCCAATTGAAAGCAATTCCGTCAAAAATGTATCCTCGTTAGGTACAGTTATATGGGGCCATATCGAAATGTGGGCGGCTACACAGCCGAAGGTACACAGGATGTTTAGGTCCCGTTCTTGAAGATGACATTATCAGCCGCAGAGCTTATGTCAATTGGCCCCCTCAGATATGCGATTTGACACCGTTGATGTATTACTTGTGAGGTGCCACAATGTGCCTAAAAATTGGACAGATCATGTAGGCGACTGTATGACCAAACCGAGGCAGTTATTTGAATGAATTTATTTTTATTAATTAACCGGAAGACTTGTTTGTACTCGTTTGTATAAAAACGTCTGAGTGATATGAAATATATAAAATTTATGAAATCACTCATACATTTAGGAACTGTTGTGAAAACCGACAGTATGGACCCACCACTACATCCCCTACAAAGGGTCAAATTTTTGAATAACTATGAATTAGAATTATTATTGAGTGGAATTGTCGTTGACTGCTTTGAAACTAATATAAGCTACGACAATTGGTCAACATTGAGTATGGGTTAAGTTTGAACTGCGAGTCGAAACAGATATAAGGGTTGAATGAAACGGTCACGTTACATACTTGCTTCCTTCCTATGGCCAAAACGTGCCACATCGAAGTAACGGTTATAGACCCTGGGTCTCTTTGGTCTAAATCCGTTTCAGGGCATTTTGAATAGATCTAGCGATGTCTGTCCGTCCGGTTGATGCGCACGATAACTCTCGAAAGGTGTATCCAATTTGTTCCAAACTTTGTACATCGTAATATTATTATCAAACTTTGATTCGGAGATGGGCAAAATCGGTCCACTGCTTCTGGGGCCTCCCACCAAGAAAAAAATTTTGCTGCACAGATAGAGAAAAGATAACCCGATCTTGCAAAAACTTTGAAAATCCAAATATTTGCATCAGTTTCTGGGGCCAATTTTCAAGAAAAAAATTTTGCTGCACAGAAAGAGAAAAGATAACCCGATCTTGCAAAAACTTTGAAAATCCAAATATTTGCATCAGTACTAGATCAAGTGCACTCCACCAAGTACGTCCCCCACAAAGGGTTAACATTTTGAATAATTATAGCTCTTATAAAATGTGATGTAAGAGTCCAATTGTCTTCAGTGTGAAAGTGGAAAGTATCGGTTCACTCCCCTACAAAAAATAAAAATTTTGAACAACCACGAAGCTCATAAAACTCGAAATTAAAATCCGATATAAAGGGTGAAAGTTCTGAATAACCAAAACGGTAGTGAAATGCGAATTAAGCTTTCGGTTCTCTTCATATTTTATTACTACTAACACAATATCTGCTGTGAAGATGGAATATATCAATCCACTCCTTCTGGTACCTCCCTCACAAATTTTAAGTATTCATAAAGCTCAAAAAACGGAAAATTTACATTCGATTCCATTCAGACTTGGTAGACCTTAATAAATCCATCAAAACAAGATCTGTTATAAACATGGTAGAGAACGGACATTTCTTCCGGTTGGTACCTGCCTCACATAGGGTACCAGAGTTTGAAAAACAAAATGCTCAGAGGAAGCGAAATAAGCATCCAACTCTCGTCAAATTTCACACATACAAACATTTTTGCTAACACAAGATCTGTTGTGAAGGTTATATATATCTGCTAATCCCAAAGGGCCACAATTTTAAATAATTTGATCTGTTATATCTTGCGAAACAAGTTTACATCTGATATATCCAAATATTTCTCTGAACCAGAAACCAGAGATGAATATGAATTTTATGATTTCGCATAAAATTGGATATAAATAGATATAAATACCTCACGCACATTTCAATATTTTCTAAAAATTATCACATATCTCATATAAAGTGAAGGAAGTAGTCGATAATGTCCAAACCCGCCACGTCGCAATATTTATATCATATTTATTTATGTCCAATACAAAATGGACAATATTGCCCAATTCATTCGGAACCAACTCTATAGTGGGTCAGAAATTTTACTAATCATAACACAAATAATAATATATTTAAAAAACAAGTAAGCATAGACTATAGTCGTGCGGGGCCGACCATGTAATACCCTACAACACTACATTATCTGCCCAGATATTACCCTTTGCATTTTGACAAGGGACATTTACCCAACATTTACGCACTCCGTTGTGCTGTGGTCCATTATACAGATAAATATAATTCAATGTAATGTAAGGTAAAAAAATATAACAAAATATATACTTCAATATTATAAGTCAAATTGAAAAAATCGCATGCGATAAAAAATATCAAAAAATAAAGAAAAAATACAAAATACTACAAAATCTGTATTAACATCATCATTTGCATATTTTTAGATGTGATTATTTTATGCCAACAGGGCATTCTGAATTGATAACATTTGTAAAAATCGGTCCAGCCATTCTTGAGTTATAAGCATTCTAGCTAACATCGTCAATATTACCCGATGACCATCAAAATTGGAAGGCTTCTGCCCAGCCCTGATCTTTAGCCCCTTGCTAACTTCCGAGTCGATTGATCTATAATTGCAACCTGTAGAGCAACTGCAAAATCAGGAAATTTTTCAGTTTTTGGTCCATTTCAACCCCTAAATATTATGCGATCATCTCCAAAAGAAATAGGGTTCTATTCTGACCATAACCCCACCTCCATTTTCAATTTCGTGAGGATCGGGCCATAATTGAGACCTGTAGAGTGATTACAAATTACCATGGGCAGACGGACAGACGGACGGACAGATGAACATAGCTAGATCGACTCAGCTCGGCGAGATAGGAAGATCCATATATACTTTCCTATGTAAGAAATCAATATTTCGAGGTGTTATATAATTTTTGGGGCCAATCAAACTTATAATACCCCCAACACAAAGTGTTGTAGGGTATAGAAATCTTAGGTTGTAAATTGTTTAATACAGAAGAAAATATTGTCCTACGCAAGAAGTGCGACAAATTCGGACTTTTTGAAAAATTTAAGTTTTTAGACGTCGACTGGATATAACTTTCCGGATATAACATTCTTTGAAATTTCACGATATGCGAAGAGATTTTTTTTTTTTTTGATTTTTTTAATTTGGACTTGTCCACTACTTTTCGATTCGCCTTGATATAGGTTCAAAACTTTTCGCATTTTATTCGAAATTTATGAAGACGAATATTCCGAATATTCAACTCCTACTTTCTAACTTAGTATATGGTTGAAAGGATTTAGTCTCGTTACCTAACCGAATCGGCTATAGTATTTTTTTTAGAAACAAAAAAAAAAAGAAATATTAATTTTGCCGAAGTAGTCCCCAGCATTTTATGATTTATGCAACTAAATGGCTTTCTTAGCCAAAATTTCAGAGCCAAAATTATTGTTATAGCAATGTAAACAACACGAATTTTGTAAATATCAGCAACAGGATATTTTGACAATCAAATGAATTATGTAAAATAACATACATAAATCAAAAGAGAGGACAACAAGACAAGAGAGAGAAAGAGAGAATGTATATAAGAGCAAGTGTATAAATTCCAATGGTCTCCATGAGTTTTGCTCTCCCATGGTTGGTGTTCAAGAACATGACATTGAAAGTGCGAGTATGCAACAGATTTTGTTTGCATGTGTACACAGCCAAACACACATACAACGCAACAGTAAAGCACACTGGCACACACATACCCACCCCCACTCACACATACATTGAAATATATTCAACTGGTAGCAATGCAGACATGGAGGATGAAGGACACTCTCAAAAACACACACACACACACAAAAGCCATTGGAAGGAAAATGGAAACGAAAGCAACAGGATTAAAATGGAAAACATCGAAACATCGCCGCAGTTCTGTTCTATCTTC